TCATTAAAATTCTTTCAATCAATCTCAGAATTACACTTAATCTTATAAGTATAATCACATTTACTAAACTTTAGTAAATCATGACGAATATCTTTGTCACTCTTGTGGTGGACTTGATCAATGCACAACCTAGTGTACTTGATCTCCTAGTCCTTCAACTGACACTTTGCCAAAGAATTAGTCTAAGTTTCCCAAATGTGAAAGTTTTCCATTCATCATACAATACACATTGCATGATTCCAAGTTTCTGTCCAATTGAAACTTGGGCGATGAGAAACTCTCCCTATTTGGTAAACGTTTGACATTTGCACAAATAACATAATTAAGAATCAAATCCATTATGCTAATAATAGAAGTACATGAACATCAATTTTTCATATATTTCATTGTAAGGATAAATAAATAAGACAAAATCAAAATTTATTTTATTGCGGAAAAAATTTGTCCTTACAATGTAATTCAATTGAAAAACTATGTTATTACATATTTCTTAATAATCTATTCTAACTCCAAGTAGTAGCTCAAGAATCCATTCTTCAAGTAATGCGATCGAAATCCATTTCTTCATGATTAGATTCAGCTCACTTCCTTTCTCAAGTTTCCTCTCTTTTCTTCGATCCTACAAAACATCAAAATGTAATCTTATCACATCATGTATTAAGAATCTAGAATAGGAACTTAAAAGAGTTAGTTAATGGATTTTACCTGAAGCAGAGCCATACGTCTTGACTCTCCCATCTCTTAGATCTCTCAGGTAATTAGGGCAGCTTCGTCTCCAATGCCCCTTCTCTTGGCAATAAAAGCAAATAGACTCCTTTGGCACAACACATCGGACAATCACAGACTTAGTTCTTTCTGGACTTCCAATGTTGCCAGTGTCCATTGAAGTTTGGGAGTTTGATTCACTAGACAAATTTGCTTGACCAGCACGCCAAATCATTGCTGATTCAGCAGCTATAAGCAAATAGGTGAGATCAATTAGGGTCACGTCGTGGTCCATCATATAGTACTCTCTAACGAACTCACTATATGATTCAGGAAGTGACTGAAGAACCCAGTCAACAGCCAACTCACTTGAAATCTCGACACCCAACATGTTTAACCTATCAATGTATGACTTCATCTCTAAGACGTGCGCACACACAGGTTTCCCATCTTCGTGTTTACTTGCCAAAAGGGCTTGAGTGAGCTTGAACTTTTCAAGCCTTTGAACTTGTGGGTCAGGGAGAATAATTGGAGGAGGTGGAGGAAGTGAAGCATGACTCTCATTTCCTTGATCGTATCTCGGAACGTCATCTTCATTTGGAAAGCTTGTTCCAAAGGATTTGGGAAGACCATTGTAAGATTCAGACATCTACAAAACGGGAGAAAATTCAAGTTAAGTTGATTAGAATTCTTGATGCAACACCCAAATGAAACATCAAGCTAGGATCCAACACAATACTCTACAACCTAGAAGAGGGATGCCGTAATCTAGTTGCAGAATATTTGAAGGTAGGTAAATGACGATTTACCAATTTCCACCATGAAAAACGAAAAAGAAGTTTAAGTTTTAAATGAATTGAAACTCCTAGATCTTTTGAGACTCATTGAACTCTTCAATGGCATGTTTAATCTCGATTATGCCCTACTATTCGTGACTGGGATGCCGAGGATCACAAACAAGGTGTAAATAACCATACGAATCACGTGGTGCACCCAATGCTACTATCACCTAATCAATGTGCCGGTTAGCCACACACGCTCCATTGATCTATGATAAGCATCGAGCCACCCTTTGCCACCAATGTCATCCCCAAATTAGTGTGCCGGTTAACCACACACGCTCCACTAACGTTTGACAAGGGTACGAAGTGTAATTCCATGGGTTAGCATACAATTTCACATTTTGCCTAAAGTAACTATGATTTGGGAATTTGAAAAAGCATTTAGTTACTTTGTACTTCATTATACTTATAATGGAAGGTTTCTGTCCTATCCTACCCGTTCGGCTAACGACCCTCCACTAGTCAAGAGTGCGGTGGGTAAGAGTGGATACCCATTCAATCGCCATTTTATAGGCAATTTCCTTAAACACCCCTTATAGACTAGCTTCGTGAATGAGGCCTACTAACGGTAAGACTGAATTTTTAGTTATACATATATAATATTAAACTTTTAATGTTATATATAGTATAAGGGTGTATTTTACACTTTTAAAATACTAGGTGGTTTAAATTATACTTTTAATTAACCAAAATCATTATGGATTTATTAAATCTCTTTTAATTATACACTTAATTAATTTAATAAAACCATAAGGGTTTAATTTGAACTTTTCAAAATCAGGGTTTTGGAATTTAGACTTTCAAAATTAACTTTTAATCAACAATTTAAATTCCAAAACTTGAGGGCAAGTTTTGAAACTCTTCAAAACAATTAGGTTTTAATCTCACTTAAAATTTTCGAATTTAAGACATTTAAATTAAAATTTTAAATATTAAAACTCTTGATTTAATAATTACCATAAATTAAACAATTAATTTAAATTATTAAATCACAAGGGATTATCTAGATCATGAGGATAATTACCAATTATACATCTAAGATATCCTAATCCCTTGAATCCCTCTCTAAATCTCGAAAATAAGGGATGGGATAATTCAAGATCTTTAATTACCATATTTAACAATTAAAAGATAATTACAAGATATGGGATTATCCAAATCCCTAAAATTTAGGATCTAACCTTGGGGAAGGAGGTAATTTCGAAATCCAAGGGTTGGATAACCCTAGATTTCAAAATCTTGGAGGCTAAGGAAAGGATTTGGGAAACCCTAGCAAAAATCGCCATCTAGGGTTTTGCAACCCTAATTGCGAAAATTACCTAGCCTTTAGGGTTTATTAGCCATAAACCCTAATATGTCAAGTTCACAAATTTGAATAAAAGCTAATTGAAAACAAAAACCAATGGCTCTGATACCACTGATGGGTTTTATACAAACAATCCTATGTGTGCATGCAACCCTAGTATTGGATCTATGTTTTCACTATTAGTTATACAACTTTATGAACACAAAAAGAAACCTGGCATGCTACTATAATTTTCGAAATTCATATATAAAACTAGAATACATACCTTTTGTTGTTATATAGCAATAACAACTAGTTCCTTGAATTTCCTTAGCTCTTGAAAGCAAGTACCACAAGTGTAGTACCTCTAATGGAGTCACAAACACCATATGCAACTTGGATGAAGAGGAGAAGAAAAAGAGGCACCAAAAACGGCTGGAAACCCTAATGGAAGTGTTGTCCACGTTTTTGGAGTCTAAGGGGTCCTTTATATACTTGTGTGGGCTGCTAGGGTTTCAGTCAAAACCCTAATGGACAGCTTAAACTCTAAGCAGCCCATGGAACCTTCTGGATAAGGCTATGGAAGAAAATATGATGGGCTTCCATCATAATTTCGTTCACCCCTTACTCCTTTAGCATTCCTTAGCCCAATAACTCAATTATCCAATAATTGCAGTCCAGTCCCCTAAGTTTAATTAATCTCTTTTAGCCACAAAATTAATTAACAATTAACGCTTGACTAATATTAATTAAACAATATGATTTCTCCTTTAATATATTATTCTCATAATATATTAATAAATCATATTTAAACCTTTCTCTCCTTAAATCATCCTACATATTGCTATGGTGAAGGCAACCCAAAAGGACCATGCTCATAATCGGGTCAAGTACATACCAAAATAGTTATGGACTTAGACACTAATCCAACAGTTCTTAGAGGTGAGTTTCCTTCTAGTAGGAACGGGTCTACGGACAAAATGCCGACCCGTTTAGATAGCAGTAGTTCCGGACTGCGGTCCGATGCCGGGGTGGTCCCGAGAGGTAGTTCAATATGCTTGATGTCTTTGTGATTTAGGCATGTTTATGTGTTATGTGTTCCGGACTGCGGCCTGATGCAGTATGCAGTATATGTGTTATTGTTATATGTTATGGTTATGTTATGCTACGTTCAGTCAGTTCCGGACTTCGGTCCACTGCTGTGAGCAAGGCCCTAGTTAGTTCCGAACTTCGGTCCAATGCAATGGGCAAGGCCCTAGTTAGTTCCGGACTTCGGTCCGATGCAGTGGGCAAGGCCCTAGTTAGTTCCAGACTTCAGTCCAATGTAGAGGGCAAGGCCCTAATTAGTTCCGGACTTCGGTCCGATGTAGTGCGCAAGGCCCTGGTCAGTTCCGGACTTCGGTCCGATGCTGTGGGCAAGGCCCTAGTTAGTTCCGGACTTTGGTCCGATGCAGTGGTCAAGGCCCAGTATGTTATTTATATGTTATTGTATGGTATATGGTAGTTTGGGGTAGCTCACTAAGCTTCGTGCTTACAGTTTCAATTTTGGTTTCAGCTACTTTAGCTAGCAAAGGGAAGGGCTTAGGATGATGGCATGGCGCACACCATAGTTTTCGCCTGGGAGTTAGAGTCTGATATTTTTGTCATGATCTTGACATCAGTTTCGGTATGAGACATATTTTATGACATTTTGAGACATACGACTTATGGTTTCCTTATATGATATTTGGATATTATGGTTTTAGTAATGTTTTCAAACGAAATTTTTGGCTTGTATTTTTAGGATGTTACAATCAACTATTGGTTCTTCACTGAAAAACTTTTCTTTGCCTTTAGAATCCGAAGCTGCATTACCCTTCGGTTCTTTGTCAGACTTGGGCTTAGGGTTTTCCTTCTGAATTGACTTCAAAATTTTCCCCCTTGTTTCGGAATAGTGCTCGACTCCGAAATACCTTGAATCTGGTCTAGCATTGCAAACATCGGCCTTAATTTTTTTGATAAATGCTTCCTGACAGAGATCGTGATCATTGAGTCATGGGTCTCAATGATGTCGGATAGCAGAACATTCACATCTACAACACAACTCTTGATAACAACCTTTTCTGAAAGAAGTTCAGTGATTTGCTTTTCAGCCTGCTCGAGCTTAATAGCGAGAGCTTTCTTGTTTGCTATTTTCTAGCGAGTTGATCCTTAAGACTGTTGTCAGACACCAAGTCATCTTGAAGTTTTTGAAGTTTAGTTGAAATGGAGGTTTTCAACTCCGAGTGATCAGACTGGATGCCAGTGCGAACAGCTTCAAGCTTGGTCCTTTCAGAGAGAAGATCAGATCGAAGGCTAGAAATAACTTCATTGGCCTTCACGGTGTTAGATTCGGATGAACTCTGAAATGTCTCCATGAACAAGCAAGCATCTGTAATTAGTTTATCGACTTTTTCGGTTGTTGCGTTGCACATTGAAGCAGAAGCATCTACCACCTTGTTCATCTTTTCAAGGTTAGCGGAGTGCTCCTTCGTAACGGTCTCGAGGATGGACTACATCGATGCTTGTGAATAATCATCAGTGGATGATGCTTTAGAGGCTTGGGGCAACGAGTCTAGTTTTTCATTTATCGCTTTGAGTTTCCCTTTTGTTACAGGAGCTTCGTCATCACTTTTTGTCCAAATTTTGAATGGACTGTAGGCGAATCCTTCGAAGTCTTCGTCATCATCACCATAGATCATGGCTGGATCATCATGGTGGAAAGGTGAAACAGGTGGTGTCAAATGACCAGCTGTGAATCCTGAAGCACCTGCCCCCACATCAGATGCATTAATAGTTACTAGAGGATCAACAAAGAAGGTAGTGATGGTGGTGGTGGAATCAGAAAAGAATGAGGTTTGGACTTGCAAGACTCCCAATGAAACCGTTGGGCAAAGGGGAATGGTAATGGGAGTTAAAATTGTGGCAATTGGAGAAGGGACAGAAAAATCTTTGAAAACTTCATAAGTTATGGTAACAAATGTTGGGATCTTAAAGGTTACATCATGATTCGTAGAGACAACTTGCAAAACCTTCCGTTAAGATGTAGCGATTGCCTCATTTTCGTTGTGAACCTCCTCTTGAATGTGAATCTCTAAAATTGTGCGTGAATCCAAAGCTCCATAGTCACTCGGTGTTGGACCTCTTGGTTTGCGAGCCACTTTATTGATCTTTTTCTTTTTAGGAACTTTAGGGGGTTCGGAGGTTCCTTCATTAGACTCTGATTTAGGAACCTTCTTCTATGACTGAATAGTTTCAAACATACCAGCTTTCATACCCGTTTTCTTTCCTCCTTTCTTGGGTTGATCTGCTTCGTCAAGCATCTTTTGAAATTCTATAGAAATAGGGCGAAAGCCTGAGAGAGGTTTAGTGCGATGGGCTTACAGTACCTCGCTCGCAACAGGAACATCTTGAAGCATTGCTTCAGGAATACAACCGATAATGATGAATTTGGAGTTATCAGGGAGGATGATGTTCTTTGTGTGAAAGGTTGGGATCATAGCCAAAGACGAACCTTCCATATAGGGAATGTTAAACATGTTAATTGCCCTTTGAACAACAATGGACTAGAAGCGAGCACATGAGATTTCACTATGTTGAGTGGTTGAGAGAGTGCTTTGTATGAACTGAGCCTAGAGAATTGACCCATAGTCCAAGTTGATGCCAGAGTAGACACCGTACATCATCGTCATGAAGAATTTGCTCGTACAGTCGAAGCCAGTAACCTGTTTAGAAAAACTCTTGAAGGGAAGCGTGAATAAGTCATTCCACATCGATGACAAGTTGGGCCTTTCGAACTTTGAAACAACAATTAATATTTCCTTATAGCCCATATGGTAGGACATCTCCATAATCACGGAGTTGGTGATGCTGTCAGGGTTAATTAGGTCTGGACTCTGAGGAAGCCTTAGAAGAGTGCATAACCTCGGTTTCGTGATGTGGGTTTTCTGGTTGTGGACTTCGAATGTGACCTGTTCTTCTCCTTTGGTATAACCTGCAGTGGATTAAGCTCTTGAGAGATGTACCAGAGGAACAATCTCAGTCTTGGTTAGCGCGATGATGGGCAGGGAGTAGTTCAGGCACTCGAGAATCGGTTGGAGAAACCCATCGTATTTTGCTGGGTCAAGATCAAGGATCATGTTTCGATTAGCTTTCAGATTGAGAATTGAGGACTGGGACACGTTTTCTGAAGGAGTCTCTAAAGAAGCTACCATTGAAGCTTTGATGAAGAAGACGATGAATAATAAAGATTAAGATCGCCGGAGGATTTTTTTTGCCTTTTTTAGAGTAGTAATTGATTAATGTGGGGTCAAAATCCTTTATACGAAGTAGTAGGTGAGAGAAAATCGTTGATTTGTTTCACCAGTTACTAAAAAGACGAATAAAAAGGGATGAATGACAGTTGTGACGTACGACAGACGACGTCAAATCAGCAGCATTTCAAATAATTGTTGTTTCAAATTCTCGCACCCAATCTTATCCGTTAAGATACCGCTTCAGGTATGCACTGTCGCAGTTGAATCAGTTATAAACTTTCGCATTTGATTCAGTAATGGACTTTCGCAGTGATGGGACATCAACAAGCCTTTGAAACTAAATGTAAAAGTAAGTACCATGAACTAGACTTTGGAAAATCACAAGGATCATCATGCGATAGTGTGCCAAAGATAAAGAAATAAATCAAAGTTTTGTGGGATATTAGTGATGTCTTATGGAGACATAAAGAAGTGGATCCCGGACAACGATCTCTTTCTTTGGAGTCAAGAGAGACTCTAAAGTGTCCGTGTGGTTTCCCATTAAATTACGATCACTGGTTTTTAAGAAACAACGAAAGGCATCTTTTGCTTAGGCTTTAAGGGTGGTTGATCGTCAACCAAACTACGAAACTTGATATAAGTCCGAACGTTTGATGAAGTATTTTTCTGACCAGTGTAGCCATAAAAAAAGTATGTTTTGGAATTACTGTAAGTGACTGGGATAAGCATAGAAATCTCAAGAAAAATAAAAACCAGATCTATTGGGAAGAAACGTCTTAAGTCTAGAACGTATCATTAAGATCATAAAAAGAAAAAGAGATTTCCTGGTATTGGCCATGAAAATGGACATTTGTTAATTCCAAGGTGAAATATCTAGAACATGTTTATTGTTCACCGTCAATTTGTATATATGTGTTGGATTTTGGGTTTCACTCAATTCGTGGTAATAACGAATTTAAGATCATAAACAACGAATTTGTTATAACCATAAACCTCAGTGGTAACTTTTGAGAGTGTTAAGGGTTACATTTGTGAATATGAAAGTTGATGCAGAAATGGTATGAGGTGGCTTCAAAGAAACAATGTACCTCTACTATACGAAAGTGACAAAGTAGGTAACTCTTAACTCGATGTGAGAAGAGTTAGGTAGCTCTTGAGTTATGTAAATAAACAACCTTATTGGGAAGAAACGATTAGTGTTATCGAATCATTAAGGCTTCTACATAGAAAGTCTTCGAGGATTTGTTCTAAATGCAGCAACATGCTTCTAGGGATACTTAACTAGTGCAAAGTTTCGGAATTTATACCTGCCCCATCATTTGCAAGTGAGATCACCAAGATGTTTGCCTTAAAACCTGCTTAATTGGCTATAATTTGATGATAAAAATTAATAATGAAAATAAAGGAAATATTTTTTTGTATTTTGTTTTTTTTTTTAAATTAAAAATAGAAAGAGATAAAATACTTTTGTATTTTTGTTTTTCTGAAAAAGTAATAAAAACAAAAAGAAATAATATATTTTTGGATTTTCGTTATTCTGAAAAAGAAATAAAAACAGAAAGAAATAACAAGAAATAAAAAAATGTACAAAGGATGCAAGAAAATTGCAAACCACAAATGAACAGTTGTCTTCGAGTTACTACGAACATTTGCACCAATTCACAGTGTGAACAGTTGGTTGCGAGTCAGTGCGAGCGTTCACACTAATTCCCAGGACAAAAGATGATTGCGAGTCACTACGAGCATTCGCACCAATTCGCACGCCAAACAAAAATTTATGACTGCAAATGTGGTTTCGGAATATACTCAGTGTCTATCATTCCTAAGCCTTGAAGAATGCGATTGAATGATTATTCAGACAAGGATTTCATGAAGATATCGACTAACTGGTCAGCGAATCTTACAAAGTATATCTCGAAATTTCCATCTTCAACTTGATCTTTGTTGAATTGATACCTTAGAGCGATATGTTTCGTCTTTGAATGTTGCACAAGGTTGTGACAAATGTGAATGGTGTTTTCAGAATCACAATATAAGGGGATTCGTTTCATGTTGATGCCATAGTCACGAAGTTGACTCTGAATCCAAATGACTTGTGAAGTGCAGGAGGTAGCAACAATGTACTCTGCTTTAGCAGTCGATAGGGAGATCCAAGTTTGCTTTTATATTGCCAACTTATGAGTTTGCCATCATGAAATTGGCATCCTCCCGTTGTACATTTTCTATCTAGACCGCAAACTCCAAGATCAGCATCTGAAAACACTTGCACAAAGAAGCCTGAACCAAAGGGGTACCACATTCCTAATGAGGATGTACACTTGAGATACCTGAAGATGTTCTTAACTTTTGTCATGTGAGGTTCACGAGGATTAGCTTGAACCTAGCACAATAGCAAACAAAAAACTATTTGGACGACTAGCAGTTGGATACATCAATGACCATATCATCTGACGATAAAGAGTCATATAAGCTGCTCGTTTATCCAGAGATGTTGTGAGTTTCGTTCCATATGCCATTGGAACCTTTGCTTTTGATTCTCCCACCATTGAAAACTTGGAGAGTAAGGTCTTTGAATAAGCCTCCTGATTTATAAAGATACCTTCCTGACTCTATATTATATTCAAGCCAAGAAAAAAGTTAATCAGACCCATGGAGCTCATCTCAAATTTAGTTTCATCAACATTCGGAATTCAACTGTTAAGCGGGCGTTAGTTGATCTGAAGATGACATCATCAACATAAATTTGGATGATCATCAAATGGTTACCATCTTTCTTGCGAAAGGAGGTTCGGTTGATTGATCCTTGTCTAAATTTAGCCTGTTTTAGAAAACAAGTTAGAGTTTTGTACCAGACCCATGGAGCTTGCTTTAGACCGTAAGCTGCCTTGTCCAGAATATAACAGTGGTTCAGATACTTTTCGTTTATGAACCTTGGTGGTTGTTCCACATACACTGTTTCTTTGAGTTCCCCATTTAATAATGCACACTTTACGTCCATCTAATAAACTTCAAAGTTCTTCTGTGCTGTGTATGCCAGAATGATGCAAACTGATTCTAACCTTGCAATGGGTGCGATGGGTTCTTGATAGTTGATTCCCTTTTCCTGACAGTATCCCTTTACTACGAGTCACGCCTTATTTCTAATCACATTGCCTTCCTTATCCTTCTTTTTTTTCGAAATACGCATTTAAGATCAACAATAGATGCATCCTTTGGAGTGGGAATGGGTCTCCATACCTTGTTTCATTCGAATTCATTGAGCTTATCTTGCATTTCCTGCACCCAATCAGAGTGATCAAGAGCAATTTGAACATTTTTGTGTTCAATTTTGGAGACAAACAAATTGAACATGCAAAATTCCACTTTAGAGAATAGTACAGTTTGCTTCACCTTTTTTTGAGCTCACGTAAGAACACCTGAAGAAGATTGTCCTGTGACTTGAGTTTTCGGATGATCTTTGGTCCATTTAACTAAAGGAGGGTAATTTGGATCATATGAAGGATCCAATTTTGAATTCACTTCTTCAAAATTTGATTGTACATCCAAATCATCATTCGCATTTCCATTCTACCCTCTAATGATGTGTGAATTTCATCTTCTGAATTCAGATTCTCCCCCTAGAAAGGTGGCTCTAAGCTGACACCAGGAGTTTCGTTCCCCCCCCCCCTAAATAGTTGTATCAGTTGAGGAGGTTGAGGTAGAACTCTCCCTTGTAATGGAACATTCGCGTCTATAGGTTGAACTGGAACTTCAGGATCTTTCGTAGTGGTGTGTTCCTGTTCCATTTCTTTCGCAACATCATCAATGATCTTCTTTAATTTATCTTCCTTATTGTCTGCTGCTTTGGACTCCGAGGAGATTGGCTTTTCAGGCTCATCAAATAGATTCAGGAACTCCTCGTAAATTGGAGAGAGTGGAATGGTAGCAGGATTCGGTTTAGGAAAGATCTCCTGTGTTGGACTGTCATTCTTCTGAAGCTTCTTCATGTAGTTATCGTCGAACATAACATAGTAGGTTTCTTCAAACTTTTTGGACCTTTTGTTGAAAACCTTATATGCTTTAGAAGT